TTTTACGGATGAATGTCAAATAACTTGTTAAAAGACTCGACAACACACCATTATTATACGGTGTTGATTATACAAAAGTAAACAAGCTTGATCTGGAGGAGTCTGATGGCGAAGAATATTCTTTGGTCTTGTTAAAAAATGTTACTCCTCCTGGTTTCTAACATGCAGGCTATATAACTAATTTGTATATATTAAAAAAATTAATTAAGTTAATTGTTCGTTAGAATGTGTATTTTCCTTTTTTCTTTTCTTTTGGTGTATTGGCCGGTTTTATTAAAATACTTTTTTTTAATTATTTGTGAGGAAAACTCACCATGAGCTTCCATTGAAATAAAATAATTATCATAAAATTTAATAATAAGTGAACAATTATCATTTGTTATTCTAAAACTTGTCAATGTAAATTGCTCTTATTGTTAATTTTGTTCATTCTCTCTGTGAGTTCATAATAATTTTCCTTATTTGTGTTGGAAATCACCTAATCAATATAAGTAATTTGAAGAGAATTATAAATTTAGGTGATAAAATATATTAAAATATTTTATTTAATATCAAAATAAATTTACTGACTACCTATTTCTTGGAAAAAAAATATTATATAATTTTACATGAACCAATCATAACGCAACATTCAGAGAAAGTGAAAGGGCAATGGCGTGCATGTGGCACCGTATGGGAAAAGAGAGGATAGCATAATAAGTGATCATAATAGTTTCTGTCCTATTCCACATTAATAGGACCCAATGCCTTGCTCTCTTAAGGCAAAGCATGTCTTAATTTCCACATTTCAATTTGGAAAAGTCCTCACCAAATCTTAGTTGTTTCTTTTCCATTATTTGTAGGACCTTCACTTGGATTCCACGTCGGCCATTTCACTCAGGCAACACACCTCATTTGAATTTCAAAGGGAAGGACAGATTATTTATAAAATTGATCAAATTTTTTCCCTCTTTTGGCTGAGCTCATGAGAAGTCTACATGGCATCAGTATAAAGTAAAAAAGGCTTTTAAATGAGAAAGCTGCATATGACTCGGCTGAACCTTTAAACCTATGGGGAATAATAGAAACAGCTCATTCCTTGATTACCACTAGGGAGATAATAGTAAAGAATAAAAAATCAGACCGAAACCAAGAGGAAGTTGAACCAGTAGCGAACCGGTTAAATTAGTGCGAACCGGTAAAAACTGGTAAAAACCGATGTGAACCGGTAATGAACTAGTTTGAATGATTATGTTGTTATTGGTCATATTTTTCTCATTTAGCTACTAATATCTCAGCCTTTATAGATTTAAATGAATTTTAATAATGATTTTGGTATCAATGATTATTAATTTTAGTTAATGATGAACCATAAAGATCAAAATTTTTAATGTTGTTATACTTTGTTATTGTTACAATCAAACTATTGTTATATTTCCTTATATTTTGTTATTACTGATTATTAATATTGTTATATTTTGTTATTTTTAATTACATTATGTTATTTTAATATGACCGGTTAGATCTCGAGTTGACTCCGATCCGGCCAACTGATTCTTGACCTACTATCTTAACCGATTTAGTGTTCGGTCTGTTTTTTGTTCCTTCGTGAACTTCTTATGGGTAACTAAACTATTAGTGTGTTATATTTACTACAAAGAGAGAATTATATGAGATTCCCAAAAAGATAAGATAATCATTAAATAATCTCAATGACGAGTGAGCACCTGCTATGTTGTACAATGCAACTTGTTGTTATAAATTTGCTCTATTGTTATGAAATTTTTTAGTAGTTTTATTCTTTTCTCATCACTTCACAGTAAATCTCGCTACTATAAATGCCCTACTTAGAAGTGAATGGATGATAGGACAGCCTGGCTAGTAAGAAACATACTGTTTTTATTAATAATAAACAAAATGATACTATAAGAGTTAAGTAGCCTAGCTTGATACTCCTATAAATAAATCCCTTGCTTAGAAGTGAATGAATGAAAGTACATATGTTGGAGTGCCAACCAAATAATTTAGCTTGATATATTGCTTTTTAATTCTATCGGTTGCCAGGCTAACCGAAAAAATCATTCTGTATAATTTAAAATACATTAACTTAATCATAACCCATTTGACTCATAATTTGATCACGGTAAAAACCATGCACCTTTTGTTGAGGGTAACGGCGGGTTTGAGTTTTTTCTTATCCTCATTCTTTTCATGATCGTCTGAACAAAACTTTGCAGGATTTTTTTTTTGTAGCTTTTTTAAAAGGAAAAATTAATTAGAAAAACAGGTAGTGGCGTTGACTTGGCATTGAAGGGGAATGATGAGGAAGGAGACAAAATCATAAAGGATTGGGGGGCAAAAAAGGAAGAGGGAAATATTTTTGAGGGAGTAAAGTTGTAACTTTTGGGGCTTGCTTGCAAATGGCTTTAATTTTTTCTCTTGTGGAGGGGTTTCTGACAAACCCACCCACCCAACAATCCTGCCTACTAATACACTAACACGGCATCAATATGTTCCCACACAATATAAATGCCAATCATATATAAGAGAGCCAACAAAACAAAGTCATCCAAAATGCTTTGGTTATTAAGGAGTAGCATTTGCAATGGCTCATTTTAATATGGACCCAAAAGCCATCATGATTCCACAACACAGGATGATGTCATGCTCTCCCTTTTGGAAAGCGCAACATCCCACGACACACCCAACAACAAACAATTGAGTAAAAGGTTGTAGCAACCAACAAACCTAGATTCTTAAAACTAGGAAAGTATTAATACATTGCCCTCTCCCTCTATCAATAATACTTGTGGATAATCAAATCAAGGTGGTGTGAGTGTTGGAGACCCCAAGTCCCATTCAGTAAATGATCAAGGGTTTGGATTTCGATATAATATAGAATATTCTTAATTTATTTTAGGTTTGAGATTAATCTCTGTTGGACAGAAAACTTTAAGATTAAAGTCTTCCTAACAAGTGCGTTTTTTGAAATTTGAACTTGTATTCTTCTCCTTATAATGGTGAAATTGCTTACCATCTTAACCAATAGCTTGTTGGTCAATAATTTGATTTTCAACTCTCGTGAATATAACCTATCTAACTAAAATGGATATGCTTTTTACTCTCTAAATCATGATCAAAAGATATTAGTTGCTACTACCAATGGAAGATGCTCCTAATCCCATAAAAAAAAAATACGCAATGATAAAATGAGAGATCTTAAATTCTTTGAAGGTTTAATGATATTGGTACCGGGGATGAGAAGGATTAAGGATATTGGTATTGGGCATGAGAAGTAGAAATGACTAAGGAGTAATGAATAAAAGGACAGTATTGATTGTTCCGAGTAGTTCCCACAAGCTTTCCCTCCCTCCATAATAACATCATTTCATTACTTACCATTCTTTTTTTTTTTTTTTTGATAAGCCACTTACCATTTTTCTACTTTATTGTATTTATTATTCTTTCTCTATATTGTGACATCGTCTCATTAGTTTCCCATTTTTCTACTTTATTATGTGCTATTCATCCTCCTTTATAAGCTAATTCATATGTCAAATTCTCCTTGTAAGTCAAGTCAAATAATATTGAGTTGAGAGGTTTGTTTGGTTGAGATACTCTGCATATAAAGCACATCAGTGGATTCTGGCATTCTCAGAACTCAGAAGTGATTAGTACTACCAAGGAACCACCTACTTCTTGTAAAAAGGTGTGGCAATATCGGATAACGTGGCTCACCCTGTTGTTAGCACTGAATTACAATATGAACAAAATTGCTGAGCTCAATATGCATTATCATCACCAAAATTGAATTTCAAAGACATAATGAACAGCTACAGTTCACAGCTCTTTCATCATAACATACCTCTCACCTCTTTCGCTGAATCATTCATAAAGTGAACTCCCATTACTCTCTGCTCTTCATTTTCTTTCTCTTTATTGTTCTTCTTATCTTCCCTTTTTTCTTTTTTTGGTTATTTTGGTGAGTGCCTTTTTTTCAGATGATTTTATGTGAGTATACGGTAATATATTCCGAGGCACCCAAGTAATTATAGCTGGGATTTTCGTTTAATGCCTATAAATCATTGTCATTAATGTTTTTACAGATACGGACATGCAACAGTGACGATGTATTATATGCGACAGTATTAATATAGAATTTCTTCATGCAATACTTTTAATTTTACAGTAAATGCTCATTGCTCGCTATAATTTACTATGATGACCACATCCTTTTATTCATATTATTATCAGGGGCACCGAATAATTTGAAGTTTGGTGAATATGATTTCAAAAAAAAAAAAAATTAAACAAGGAGTCTGCATAATTTGTTGCTCATGATCACGCTATGCTAGCGTTAAGTGTTTGCGAGCCTGATTATAAAGTTTGAAGTCTTAAGACTTTGTTTTCAAATGAATTGAATTTCAAGGAAGCCAGAGAAAAAATGACAAAAAAAGAAGCTTGCTTTTCATTCTGGAATGGATGAGGATATTAGGAGTCATGAAGAATGAATTATTCGGTGATTAGAGGGATCAAGCGGAATAATGGGGCACTAAAATAAGGAAAGGAAGACAATGATTAGTGTGGGACCCGCAGTAGGATGTAATGAAGACAAAGATATTTAGACATTAAATGCGAAAGATTTGTTGTTGGACTTTTTTAAGGTTGCGAGGGTATCAGATTCATTTTATGCTCTTGTCTTCTTTTCAAGCTTTGTTTTTTTTTGTTGTTGAAGACAACTAATACGTAATTAGTAATTACACATACATACAGGATTGAGATTCGATCATTGGAGAACTGAGAGGAAAAAGAAGCCAAAACCCAAATCTCTTTTTATGTATATAAATCTTAAGACCCTATCTCTCTCCCATTGGCACCCCACTTTCTTCTCCTTCCTATTTAATAGCAACCTGCAAACAAGTTCCTTAATCCCATTTCTTCTCTTTGACCACTACGAGACCTTCACTTCATACTCTTGCCGTCTTGCGTTTCATTGTGCTGGTTTTTCTATCGTTTTCAGAAAGGAAATAGTGAAGTGATTTGTGGTGATTTTGGCGTTGATTGTCCCTTTGAAGAGTGAAGAAAATAAGTACCAGTATTTGTTTTGAGAATGGGCTCAATTTGCCGCAGATAACAGTAAGCATTAGCGAAATGGTTGGAGCTCAGATGGGTTCGTCGCTTTGGAATAGTCTCAAATGTCTTTGTTCCGCTCATGGTTGGTCTTACGCCGTTTTCTGGCGCTCTCATCCTCCTGATTCCTTGTGAGCCTCTTTTTCTTCAACCCCTCCATTCTTTTTTATTTTTGGTTTTCTTGTGTCTTACAAGTTTTTATTCACTTCTGCATGCTATTGCTTTACAATAAGGTGGAGTTAATGGGCATTCCAATTTTTCTTCCTTCAGTTTTCTTTTCCCCGTTGTAAATTTGCTTGATGGAATGAAAGGAGTTTCAGAACTCTGCGTCAAAAATGCTACAAAAATTTCATTCTTACCTCTGATTTGGTGTTTCAACTTTGAAATGCCTTCAGGTTCCTGTCTGTGGAAGATGCTTACTACGAAGGCCAGCTGGGACACGAAATTACTAAGACGATTCCGCAGCTTCATTTCCTGGGTGAAGGGTACGGGAAATGAATAATTTGTTTTCCTTTTATTTCTGATGACAGTTATATAATTTCAGTTGACACATTCTCCAGAAACTTGAATGTAGCTTCAATAAATATGGAGTTCAGGAGTTGACAAGTTTAAATGCATGCCTGTGCAAAAAAAGAGGCTTACACAGTGGCTAACTCACTATTTCTTTTCTTATCCAGAATTGTTGGTCAAGTTGCTTTTACTGGCACTCGCAGATGGATTTTCTCAGATGCTCAAACCCAAGAGTGGAATTCAACTGGTGTCTTTGGAGGTCTAGATCATTGTGAGGTATCTAAATGTATTTTTATCCCACCAACTCTCTGAGTTGGTACCAATTATCCTCCTGGTCAGCTGCTCATTTGTTTTTCTACAATTACTTGATAACGTCTTTTTTCCGCCTCTCTCTGCAGCTTGATTCTGACTTGCGTCAACAATTCTCCTCTGGGATCAAGGTACTATAAAACAAGAAGCATAAAAGTTCAAAAGGAACATAAGATGGACAAGTGGACATAGCATGTCTAACTGTCTTCTTCTTCCGAGTCATGGAATCTGTATATTGATTCGTTTATTCTGATTTGCAGACTATAGCTGTGATATCTGTTAAACCATTGGGAGTAGTACAACTTGGATCCACACAGAAGGTTAGTACTGTGAAAGCACATGAACTTTTGACAGATTTTATATCAAGAAATTACATTAAGTAATAGTTATCTCTTATGCGTGTTGCAGATCTCGGAGAGAGAGGAAATTTTGGAACAAACACAAAGACTGTTCATGGAGACGGACAATTTCGATGCAGTTGACGCAACAGCAAATATGGTTTTAGCTTGGGATTTTGAAAATTATGATCTGAATGGATTGTTGGCCTCTGAAAACTTGTGTTCTTGGAATCTCAGCCCTGAAGATGACAATAACATCAATGGGGGAATGAGAAATGCTTGTTTTTCAACAGGCATGGATAATTCTCTCCTCTCCACTTTTAAGAATCAAGAAGATGGAATGACCAACTTGCATGGGGAATCTTCTTGTCTCAGCGATCAGTTGACAACAGCCGCAGAAGCTCAAATAGGATTATCAGAGAAGGATAGTTTTGAAGTTCTCTTAAATCCTAACTCTTGCGTGAAAACCCATGTTTTGGCACACAGAGCAGTGAAGTTTCTTTGGCTTCATCAATGGCTCAAGATGTTGCTGCTGAGGATTCAGTAATGACCTCTTTGTACAGCATGAACGGACTCATGCTTGGACCAGGAGGACCATTTCAAGATAAATTAGGGAATCCTCTGGAACACAACCCTTTTGCTCAAACACTGCATGGACCGTCTAAGATGTCAACCGAGGACTTATCTGAGTTGTGCTCTGTGGATGATCTTTGTCAGAGGTTCACTTCTTCTCCAGAACATAGCACCTGTGCAACAAACAACACTACATTGGAAAATTCTCTTTCTCAATCCTTAGAATTCAATCCCACTTTTGTTGCCTTAAGTGGTGATCTGCTAAAAAATTTCTCGGATGGACACCAAACGCCTACCCTTATGCATACTTTTGAAAGCAATACCGGCCTTGATTTTGTTGGTGAGTGCTGGGGGAATATGATTGCACCAATGGTGAAATCTGCTACTGACACTGCTTCATCTCGACGCCAATCAGAGTTGAATACTGTTACACCTAATCATGCCGCCAAGAAGGGATTGTTCGCAGAGCTCGGCATTGAAGAGCTTTTGAATGGTGGATCCAGTTTTGAGGATCAGATTTCTACTACTAAAAGGCGTAGGACAGATTCATCCGGGAGTACTAATCCTGTTTCTAATTTGGACAAGACAAACCATCTTGTACACAAGAAAGAGATATTTCCTAAGTCGGTGATAGGGTCGTGGATGGACCATAGCCATTGCTTCAATGGTGTTAAGGTTGTTCCTCAAAAGCCAGAGGAATCCACAAAGGTCTCAAGGAAGAGGGCTAGGCCAGGAGAAAGTACTCGACCCCGACCAAAAGATCGCCAGCAGATCCAAGACCGTATTAAAGAGTTGAGAGGGATCATCCCCAGTGGTGGAAAGGTAAATGTTACATCACTGACCATGTACTAGGAAGTCAGAAGAATGCCTCTAGGACACTTTTAGAATTTTTTTTCTGTGGTCATTATGAAAAAAAACGATTTCTCTCATTTCAACATTATCTCCATTTATCCTTTGCGATTTATTGCATGCATTATTTGTAGAATTAACTGCACAATTGTTATAGTAAGTTAAATGAGAGAGTAACATAGTAACATGTATTGTTCTGGTGTAACAGTGTAGCATTGACTCTTTGTTGGATCGCACCATCAAATACATGCTTTTCTTACAAAGTGTCACAAAATATGCAGACAAGCTGCAAGAGCCTGAAAGCCCTAAGGTAATTAATCAAATCCATTTTTGCATGTGGAAAAAGAATAAAACCATTCTTCATTATCATATCATCTCATACGCATGGATTTTGGATTTTGCAGCTCATAGAGGAGGCAAACAGTACGGTTGCAAAGAGCAAAAGTATGGGAGAATCCGATATCAAGGGTGGCGGTTGTGGTGGAGTTACATGGGCGTTTGAAGTTGCAGGTCAAAAAATGGCATGCCCGATTGTAGTGGAGGACATGAACCAACCAGGTCAAATGCTCATAGAGGTAAGAAATGAGAATAGATGCTTCTCTTTACACAATATTATCCTTCCTTCAAATAAATCTAAAGATGATTTTGTCTGCTGTGCAGATGCTTTGTGAGGAGCAGGGCTTGTTCCTCGAGATAGCCGAAATAATCCGTGGATTTGGACTGAACATTCTTAAAGGAAAGATGGAAATTAGGGACAACAAGTTATGGGGACGCTTCATTGTTGAGGTAAATTAAATTAGATATTCCTAAGAATCATAAAAGAATGTGAGATGTATTGTTTTTATCTAAAAGAGTGGTTGAAATTGATGTGCAGGCAAGCAGACATGTAACAAGGATTGACGTATTTTGGTACCTAGTTCAGCTTCTACCGCAGACAAATGCATCTGGAATGGATAATTATCAGAAAACTGATATGACACTTCCTGCTATGGCCATGACTTGATAAGGATTTCTAAAGCAAATCACCTTGAGCACTGGTGAATTCAACTAGTGTTTCAATTACTTGTTGCTGTGATAGGTGTTTTTAGGAGCCATTCATATGACATCAATTATAGATTAGGTTCATTCCAATTCAAGAGCTTCTCCCACTGATCAAGCTGATACTGATTTTGTATATACAGACATTAGGTAAGCTAGCTACTGTTTAGGTCTTTGCCTGTACTAGCCAAATTGTTCTCCTCCTTACTCCACCCTTTAAACAGCTTGCTCTTCCTTGGCTGCCTCCGAGAGAGCAGAAAACACTTCATCAATGTAGTTTGAATAATACAGAAAATTTCAATTTCTTTCCAGAAATTGAGCATCATTATTATTATTCAACAAAGGTTTTCTCTGGTTCTTTTTAAATATTAAATATATATATGTATATATATGAATATTGACAATTTGGCGAGCATCCAATCTAGACATTTCTTAGATGATTGGCATTTGCGTTCTTTGCTGGAAGCTGTGAGAGCTTAAAAATCACGCCTTTTAACCAATGATACTTATATAGCAAAGACTATTTTAGCTTATGTTCGTATTATAGCCTTTTTTTTTGGTAACATATCTTCGTATTATATCGTGTTGATTACGCTCTGAAGAATTTCGTTATTTCAAGAGTGATTTTGTAAATTCTGCTTCACTATGTTTCCTGTCTGTACAATTCTTTTGAATGAAATAACCTTTTTACTCAGAAGAATACACACACACTAAGGCTAGGTCATAAATTATATATAATGCTCTTGAATTTTCTCCTATGTGCGCGTAACATTTCCAGCATTTAAAACTTGATAAATAATTTATCCAAATTTTAGAATTATGCGGTTAATTTTCATGTCATTAATTTATTTGTTTTGGAGAAATTATTTGTTATTTCACAATCTGAAATATATGACAAAATGTTCATTTTTTTAATTCAACGAATTATCTTTATATAACAAAGCTTAAAATCTATAGGATTTCCCACTTTGAATAGCCGAAAATTAAGATAATTATATTTAATTGTTTGTATATTGTATAATATAAAATGTGTTTTTTGACCGAATATAATTTGAAATGCGTAGACATACTGCTTTTATTTAATTTTATTTCAAGAATGAAGATTTAAAATTAAGCCCACAAGCCGCAGGTTTTCACCAGATTTCCCAAAATGTAAATTAGGGGAGATGACAGTTATGTGGTGTCCCAAAATGTAAGTCCCCACAATGCCCGAGCAGAGTAAAACCCAGTCGTTAAAATAAAAAGATCCACATAATCCAGCGGTGGTAGGGAAAGCAAGTTGAAAGAAAACCCCAGAAATTGGAATCGGAACTGGATTCGATTCGTCTTCGGAATTTGCTCTTTCCAATTCGCTCTTCTTCTTGATTCCGTAAAGTGATCTTTGATTCATTCTCATCCCAATCGATATGGTTGATGCAGCCGATAAATTGGCGTATTTCCAGGCGATCACAGGTCTAGAAGATCCCGACTTATGCACTGAGATTCTCGCTGCCCATGGCTGGGACCTCGAGCTTGCGATCTCCACCTTCACCTCTGGTAATTCCAGCACCGCACGCCCTGATACTTCCGCCGCCTCACCTGCCGACGATGACGACATTGACGCCTCCTCCTCTGTCGTTCGGGTCGATTCGTTACAGTCCATGCCACAATCAGAGCCTTCTCCGCCTGGCTTGGCTTGGAAGCTTATTAAGTTACCGGTTTCTGTCATTTCGGGTAGTTTAGGTTTGATTTCTGGCGCGATTGGTCTCGGCTTATGGGCCGCCGGTGGTGTGCTTTCCTATTCTCTTGGCATGATAGGGTTGGGCTCTGGTTCCCCTAGGAACGATCAGTCCTCGGCGCGTTTGCTTCCTCTTTCGGCAGCAGCATCGGAGGCTATGGATTTTGTGGCCGGGTTTGAGAGGGAATACGGTGCTACTCGGCCCAATTTTGCGAGCGAGGGCTTTATGGACGCCTTGCAAAGGTCAAGGAATGCTTTTAAACTTCTGTTTGTTTACTTGCATTCACCGGAGCATCCGGATACGCCTTTATTCTGTGAGAGGACTCTGTGCTCCGAGGCACTTGTGGCGTTTGTGAATGAAAACTTCGTGTCATGGGGAGGTAGTATTCGGAATAGTGAAGGCTTTAAGATGAGTAACAGCTTGAAGGCTTCTCGATTTCCATTTTGTGCTGTAGTCATGGCGGCAACAAATCAGAGGATTGCGCTGCTTCAACAGGTATTATCCTTAATTTTTTTTTAGTCCTATTAGAACGGATGGGATTTTAGTTTGTGAGATTTTGCCTCGTTAGGACAAAGCGACAAACACAATAACATGACCTAAAGCTTCTTATACGTTTCTTAGCAATGATTCTGCCATTGTCAGAAAACAAGGATAGTGGGATGGAGAGAGACCAGAGGGGGAATCATTTTCCTTGCTCTCTTCTCCAGCTCCTTTTATTCTTTAGTATGGGTAAGAAGAGGGGAGAAGGGGCATTGTTTCGCTAAAAGATGCTAAATTAAGGGGATTTTCTGGTTTCATTTTTATCCTTAGCAAAATACGATGGATGTCTGATTCACTTTCTTTAGAGACTTTCTCTTGCAAATTGGGGTTTTCTTGGTCAATACATATGAAGTTAAGCCTATGATTCTTTTCTAGCAAACGTGCGTCTGAATTTTCAATATATTGTTATGATTAAAGCTCATATATTCTTCTATTTAACCTCTTTCTTCGTTTTAACTGGTAACGTTCCTACAAACACATCATATTGAGATTTTTGTGGGGCAAAACGAATAGATTAGTGCTCTTTATTGTATTTTTCTCAGTACTGTATTGCTAGAATAGTAGGTCATATCAATAACCGTGAGAAAAAATTTCTTAGGTTAAGTATCTATTCATTGTGATATGGCAAGATCTTTTGTTTGCTAATTGTAGATGGTCATGAAATGCATTTTTTGTTTTTCCATGGAGTAAGCCTATGGTTCAGAGGAATGAGGCCACATTTTTTTTTTTTGGGGGGGACAGGGGGACGGTACTGCAACGGGTAGTTTTTGTGCTGGCCATATCAGTGTTTGATCTGCTTTTCTTTGAAAAAAAAAGAACAAAAATGGCCACATATTTTTCTTTTATCAATATTTTAATCGAAGATTACTGAAGTAAATTTTGAAGTACGAATCCTAGCAAGATAATTTTAACCTGACCTTAACGGATATGGTATCTATGATTCATAGGCAGCTAAACGAGAACTAACTGGTCCTGAATTTTACCTTTTATAAAAACATTAACAAGAAATTGAAGCTGGGCAAATTCATTTTGAGAATTTCTGATCTTACCAAAACTTTGTCGTCACTGAACTTTTAAGTTGTTAACGAAGTTATGAACTTTGTCGTTGAGCTATTAACTTTGCTAGTTCTAAATATATTCTGTCTAAAATCATTTGGACAGACTTCAATCATAAGCAGCAGTTGGGATATTGAAGCTGTGTGAAGATTTATGTGGGATTGAGTTGGTAGTGTTCTCTAAAAGTTAAATAGGATTATGGTGGAAATTTGTAAATGTTCCAGAATCTTCAGTTTTATATGGAGTGAGATTGCAAATTTGTTGTTAACGATAAATGATGACTGAAAGAAACTGACAATGGTAACTTTCGGGTTAGATGTAAAGGTCCACTTTCGATTAATTGGTGAATCACTGGTATGGTATTTTTCTTGCTTGTCTCAGCATCTGATCCTCATCTGACATCGCCCCTCCCGTGAAATACAAATATATGCTGGATATGGGTCCTAACATATCCAATTCAAGAGAAAAAAATGGCTTTGTTATATAGTGACACAACTTCACAGGGCCTGAAATCTTCTCCTCACCAGATTTTTGGCACTGGATTTATGAAATTATTTAATTGGACAATAAAAATTAAAATAGGAAAATAAGTGAAGGGTTTAGTCATGTGTAATACTACCTCCTGTCCTTAGTCTGAGACCCACTTTGTAGTTCAATTTCTTCATTAAAGTGGATCTTATATTAAGGATCGAAGGTAGTATGATTTAGTTGGGGAACATGTATTATTAATGTTATAAATTATAAATATATCCTCAATTGAAAATATTTTTTGGCCAATTTGCGATTGAAAATATAGAAATGAGTTTTATGTACGTGTTTGTATGATGTGTCCTGTGCTGTAATATTGAAGTTTTAACTTCATCAGGTCTATGAGTTTGTGACAGTATTCTTGCATTTTGATTCAACAATAACTGAAATAACGGGCCTTATCCTATAAATGTGGTCAGTTATTTTGCCAGTATTACTGGCATTTCGGTTAATTAGATTAATGAATTGGTTATCTACATGATGCATATATTTTCGTATATCTTAACATCTGAATATTTTATCCCTTAAAGCCTTTTCTGTTAAATGTGTTTAGCTGGTTTGTCAGGTAGGCTTGGAATTCATGATAGTTTTTCTGCTTTGTGCTCTCGATAAGTTTTTTAAATTGATCTGTATCAGTAGGGCACGTCAAATGCTAAAGTTCTCTGGTTTCGAAGTATTGGTGCTTCGTAGGTTGCTTGTTTAGCTGTGTGTCTAGTGGGCTTGGAGTACATAATTGTGTTTTTGCTTTTGTGTTCTTTAAGTTATTTAATTTTAGTCCTTCATTGGTTAAGATTTTTTTTCTCCCCCTCATCGATTGTTACTTGGCCATCCTTAGTTGCTATACTTGTTCTCATGAATTGCTATGCTTTGCCTGGCAAGTGACCTCAACTAAATTCTATTTTCAGTTACTGATCCTTCATCTCATTGAATTCAAATTCGGTATATTCATGAAAATCATGTGTCTAGTTTACAATAGTTGATAAAGCATTTTTTTTTTATCAAAATGATTTCTGGCCATTCAATCTTTTCTATGTTCTCCAGGTTGAAGGCCCGAAATCTCCCGAGGAGATGCTTACGATACTGCAGAGAGTGCTAGAAGAAAGTGCCCCAGTTCTTATTGCAGGAAGACATGAAGCAGAAGAAAGACAAAACAATATTCGCTTAAGGGAGGAGCAAGATGCTGCTTATAGAGCTGCACTTGAAGCTGATCAAGTATGCTGCTTGTAGAGCAGTCTTATGTTTTTACCTTGGAAAGATAAGCAATTGTTGTAGTGGCAGTTTAATGTTCATAATATTTATGTACAGGCTAGGGAAAGACAAAGGAGAGAAGAACAAGAACGCCTTGAAAGGGAGGCTGCTGAAGCTGAGAAGCTGCGCAAGGAGGAAGAGGAGGCTCAAGAAAGGGCAGCCCGAGAAGCTGCAGAGAAGCAGGCTGCATTAGCTAAATTACGTCAGCAAAAAGCTCAGTCGCTTGGTGAAGAACCTGAGAAAGGACCTAATGTTACACGGGTAATGTTTATCAAAGTTGAGCTAGTACTCTACTTTTCCGTTTTTCGGCTATATTGTGTTTATGACTAAGTTCAGTAGTCCAGAGATCCGCACAATACATATTGTTTTACTGCTATGTTGTCCCTTTAATGCGTTTGATTTTGAATTGATTTACAATGCCCTTTTGTATAAGAGTCGTATTTTATTATAATTTGTAGTTCACCTAATGATATTTTTGAAAATTATAATTAGGTTTTGATTCGCTTTCCAAATGGCGAGCGCAAGGAAAGGAGGTTCCACAGCAACATGACAATCCAGTCATTATACGACTATGTTGATTCATTGGGTTGTTTAGAAGTTGACGATTATAGTCTGGTGTCCAATTTTCCTCGGGTTGTTTACGGACAAGAAAAGCTTACTCTGTCATTGGAGGAAGCCGGACTGCATCCTCAAGGAAGCCTGTTTGTAGAGCTAAGTTCATGACGCGAAAACTCGCTAAATAATCGGAAGAGTGCTCGGCGTAGAAATAGGAGATTCTCAGGTGTTAAAACTATGGTTATTGGGAGGGAAAAAAAAAAAAAAGAATCAGCTTGAGAAGCACTTATAATTTAAAATATGTTGTTGCTGCTTCCCTGTATAACTTCCGTTCATCTTATTTCTCATTTAGTCTGCATAGAGCCTTCCATACAGAGGATTTAGAATGATGATGATATAATTGTGTGCACGCACTCATGCCTATCTGGAAATTAAGGAAGCTTCCCTTAGTTATTTCTTTGTACATGAGTTTCAGAATTGTACTTGTGGAGGTTGCTGGTGCCAATGTCCGTCGGATCACAGCCGTTTCCTGCCATTCCATTTTCCTCTCTACCTGAATGGTTTTTAACCATGAGATCCTTGTGAGAAATTATATCTTGCCAATTAGTTTATGATCATGAAAGGGATAGGTTTTTATTGTTATTAAAAAAAAAACCGGAAAGGGAAAAAAGTTTTTTTTTTTTTAAGCCCTAGAAAGAAACAAGAAAGAAAAAGAGCGACTGGGGTTCACATCAGGAGAAGTCAGTTGAGTCTCACTTCTTGTTTTCCCGGAGATCCTCTGTTGAAGTTTTAGATTCATCTTTCTTTTAGTGTGGCCATTGGTTGACGAGTTTAGTTTAACGAATTATCGTAATAAATTCATAATATGCCTAAACTTCAATTGATCTTGGTCAAAAAATAAAATGAAATTGATTATATTATTTCTTGTTGGCCACCACTAAAGTATTAATTACAGTTTGTTTTTTCAATCATACCGATAATGATTGAATGCATTTTTTATTTTTATACTAGTAATTTAATTTAATAGAGCATGAAAAAATGGCTACCAAACTACCAATACGAGAAACAATATTTTACAAGTTATTTTACAATTTTAGCACAATTCTGAACACATTTTATTTTTGCAAATCATCAGTAGGTAGATTGAGTAAAAAAATGTGATGGAAAACGTGTAAGCAGGCCAAAATATCTCGATTATTCATAAGTTCAAAGTTATTGCATGTTGAAATATTTCGCTCTATATCTAAAAGAGCTCTCCCTCTTTTTTCTTCTAATTGTTTGTCGGTATCCTTTTGTTAGAGATCCCCTCTTTTTGTAGTGTTGTTGAATCGCATATAACTACAAGAAGCCATATGTTTCGGTAATATGAAAACAAAATACAAGGAAGAGTAGTTTTGAGTCAAAATGATTGCGAAAGTATGGATCTTTGAATTTTTAAATTCCGCACCATTGACCTTAACGAGCCTCTAATCATTCCAACTTCCAACGCATGACATTATCCTTTATTAGTTTTAGGGTCAACTATACATCGTGCTTGATTTGTGGTCGTATTACTTGATTATTACGAGTTTGAAATTGCTTAACCATGAGTTGGACTTAGTTAAAATAAATGTACTATCTGCGATCCTAATTATAAAAATTAGTTGACTAATTTAAGGAGATTAAAAAATAAAGTTAAGTTAGTTATTTGTAATAAATATGTGTTGTCTTTCTTAAAATATTCTTACTAATCAAGTGTATTGGCTAGAACTATCATTATTAGAAGGATTATCTTGAAAAAGATATATAAATATTAGGGATAAAATATATTGTGGTCTTCTATTTAAAACTAAAATAAAAGTTAAACGAGGTCTTATATTAAAAACCGGAAGTAATACATATTTATATATTTAATATCCAGGTCGGTCGGGGCCATCCCTTTCTTTGTTTTACGCTTTGAGTCTGATCCAATTAAAATCCCACTCACCCTGCAATACGCAAAATCAATCGTTTTTATTTTATACTAATATTAATAATTATTAAATGAATTTTAAAAAGTTAATGGTTTAAATTTTAAAGAATATGATCCCATTATTATTATTATTCAATAATGATATTAAAAAAATGTTCTTCATAATGTCGATTCCTTAGCTTTGAACTGGTTTTCTGGGGCAAAAATCTACGCCTAATTTGAATTATTGATTTTTTGTTTAACAAAATAGATTCATTAACCGATTTTCTTTATTGAAACCAGTGATCCAACAGGGACGTAAATTCGTGAACTTGAACGGTTTCCATGGAGCCGGGTGAGGTTGGGAAGAGGAAGAAAATAGTTGAAAATAGATAAATGAAAAAAAAAACTGGTTGAAAATATCAGAGATAAAATAAAAGCGAAAAAAATTATAAACAGTCTCATATATTGATTTTAATCAAAATATGAAGATTTGCTGGCAAAAGTAAATCAAAATATGAATATCTGGTTAAAGGTCTCACACTTAATTTAGTTAAAAATATAAGTGTTTGAGCAGAAATTGCCAAAACTAAACTTTTAGATAAATAATTGATTTTTTTTACTTTGATCCCAAGTAGGCACAAAATCAATCTTATGAATCAGTTACATCCAAATCTATAATAAAAAAAATCATAATTTATAAATTAATTCTATCCGAAATCTATTATGTCACTACTTATCCAGGCACATTCTAAATTGTGTACGTACGTAACATGTTCACCGATTTTGTTGATTATTACTGTAAATTATAAATCACCAATATTAATATAAAATATAAATAATGTATAAAACCATGATATTCATATGTGACAAAATTTATAGTAGATCGTTGCCCTATTAAGATTTATTCTAGTTTCTGTTATCCGCATAGCATAATTCTTATATATTAAAAAAATAATTTACTACGTCGGCAAAAATAGTTTATTACATAAAATAGAAATTTGACCATAGGAAACAAAAATACTCTTAACTAAAAATAAAACATTCTCAGTATAAAATATAATTAAGATCTTCATATAGTTATCTGATGATTTGATTTTTAACTTTATTCTTAAATTTGAAAAATTGTAATTGAATCCGATTTAAAATTGGATCACTGTGATTGATTATACATTATCCAAACATACTTTAAAGACATATACAGTAGAATTTGCGTTAATAAATAAATAAATAAATCTGTAAGTTTAACAAGTGATATATACAGCAAACATATTACTAAAAACACAATAATAGATTACCAGGTAAAATAAAAAGTACACTTTATAATAAAACCGAAACATCTTCCCTGGGAAATAATTCGCAATATAACAGGTTTTTTTTTTTTTACCAAAGAAATATAATAGTCTGATACATTTATAATATATCTGAAAAAAATACATAATATTATATTTTTAATGAAAAAACGACGGATAATTATTCTGTTTTGTTGATGGATTATTTTATGATAAATTATAAATCTCTTTTATTGATTAATGTTGAAGATTAGTGATTAATTATGGATGGATTACGGATTACACGGATAAAGCATACGGTATTTCAGTTTTTAGTATAAATTGGAACCCAGGGCACGCCAGCGTATTCCGTTCTGCCATCTTATAGCTGCCGGACGCAAGAAAGTTTATTTTTTGGATCTCCAGGTTCTTTCATCAGTTCCTGGTCCCGGGCGTCTTGAGTGGAAGATCAATCTCTACACAAAATTTGATTTCGCAAACATAAGATGCAGATAGAGATATGGGTGAACCTTGGACTGGTATAAGGATGTCTACCTTCATGCGGAATCAAAATTCTTTCATGGATTTTGGATCTTCGCTTCTCTGCTTCGTCGGATGTCGATTCCACTTTTGTTCGACATTCGATTCCTATGCAATTGCTTGTGAGGCGTTTTCTGAACAGCTTTTTCTTCATCAGACTCGTACTCGGATCAAAGCGGATAGGGTTTGCTAGTTGTTTCGCGCGTCAAATAAAATCAATTATTCTCTTCGTGGGATTTTTTTGTTTTTTAAAAATTTGTGATAGCTATGGATTCCGGCGTTGGTTTGTCTGTTGGCAAGTTTGAGAACGATGATGCTGATGTTGTGGAGAAAGATCCTACCGGACGTTACATTCGGGTATGTGGATTGACAAGTCTAGGTTTCTACGTCTCTGTTACCCTGACACTGAGAATTCAATGGAAAACCCTAAAATTTTCATTCTAGTAGATGTGGTGACGTTTATTGCTTGTGATTGACTGTTGAGGATGTTATTTCTTTTGAAAACAAAGCCTTCTCTATTGAAATATTTCAAAATTAGTCTGAGTTATCAATTCTATAATGCCGACCTCTCTCTCGTTCACTTCTCATGTGGTGTTATTGATACATTGTTATGCTTCTATCTTCAGTATGATGATATGTTGGGGAAAGGAGCATTCAAGACTGTGTATGGCCCTTAGACCTATCTTCTTTTAGTTTTAATCATAGTTAGATATTTAAGTTAAAAAAATTTTTGAATGAAGGAACTTTCTTAATTTAAATTACCTTTATTTATTGTTATTATAGATATAAGGCATTCGATGAAGTTGATGGGATAGAAGTTGCCTGGAACCAAGTGGATATTGAGGACGTTTTGCAGTCTCCACAACAATTGGAAAGGGTATATTCTGAGGTTCATCTCCTGAAGTCATTGAAACATGATAACATCATCAAGTTCTATAATTCCTGGGTGGATGATACGAACAAGACTATTAACATGATAACTGAGTTATTCATCTCTGGGAGTTTGAGACGGTAAGTTTATTGACCTTTTTTTTTTTTTTTGGTAATGTTTTCCCCCTGATGCGTTTGGCCTTAGCATTCATTGATTTTGCTCTTGCTTGTAATGGATCAGATATCGAAGAATGCATAAGAATGTTGAACTGAAGGCCATGAAGAACTGGGCAAGGCAAATTCTTCAAGGTCTATGCTATTTGCATAGCCACGATCCTCCTATCATCCATAGAGATTTAAAATGTGATAATATCTTTATTAATGGTAATACTGGAGAAGTTAAGATTGGAGATCTTGGATTGGCAACTGTTCTACAGCAACCAACTGCACGGAGTGTCATTGGTAACATGCTTCAGTTTTTCCTGTTTTTCTAACTGGACTAAACCATGTTTAGAGGAAGAATTTGGTCTTGATGCTTATTTTAAATTTCACTTTGCAGGAACGCCAGAATTCATGGCCCCTGAGCTTTATGACGAAGAGTATAATGAACTTGTTGACATATATTCTTTTGGCATGTGCATGTTAGAAATGATTACCTGTGAGTACCCATATAGCGAATGCAAAAATCATGCACAGATATACAAGAAAGTTACCTCTGTAAGTCTACTGTTAATTCTGTTCTTTAAATCTTTTCTTAGTCTTGTTTTCTGTTACACTTATAAGTTTCTTACTTTCAGGGAATAAAGCCTGCTGCCCTCGGTAAAGTGAATGATCCAGAAGTGAAACAATTTATAGAGAAATGTTTAGTTCCAGCCTCTATGAGATTGCCTGCATCTGAGCTATTGAAGGATCCATTTCTTGCTACTGACAACACAAAGGTGGTCGACCATGCACTGCAGCTGCCCAATCACATGACAGAATTGGTGACAACACCACCAACTGAGCCACGTCCCATGGAGATAGACCAGACTGTCAAGGATGTTTTACCTGGCTCCTGTCTGAAAGTTACTGAAGAAACTCCTCAAATATTAACTCTAGATTTCCTTACGAAGAATAAGAGTAATGAATTCAGGTTACGAGGGCAGAAAAATGCTTCGGACAGAACAGTTTCACTTAGTCTGCGCATTGCTGAGGCAAATGGTGAGTGCTTATATATATATATATATATATATATATATTTTACCTGCCACAACATCATGCTAAATGTTTATGTATTTGTTAGGTCGTGCGAGGAATATCCATTTTCCATTCTATCTTGATTCTGATACAGCAATTTCCATTGCCGAGGAGATGGTAGAAAATCTGGATCTCACTGGTGGGGACGTGAGTGTTATTGCTGAACTAATACACACCATGACTGTTAGGCTTGTTCCTAACTGGAGAGTGTCTCGTCAACAATTATGTTCTGGAGCAGATTGTTTGGATGGCCATTCTCACCTAGTTTTAAAGAGGGGATCATCTTTAAGGTGCCATAGTTACGAGGATCATGTTAACTCACAGGTTCTTGATGAAGATCAAGAGAAACAGGAATCACTTATGTCAGGCATTTCAGCTGAGGATGAGATTCCAGTCGTCTCAGATGCTAAAAACTTACAACCTAATTGTACTTTCTTTGATGGATTCTATGAGGGCTCCACTACCAAAAGGTCCAATTCAGATGTCAGGTTATGTGATCAAGATGAACGCAATAGGGGAGCTCATGGTGATGGATTTGTCAGCATCGGTGGGTCTGATGGGAACTCAGTTAACGTTTCAGAGAACTCAACTGTCTCATCTATCGATTCGTGTGGCGATGAACCCAAAAACTTCGACATGTCAAGCATCAATTCTCTTTCTCTCGCAGACAAAGATCAGTGTGACGAGCTGCAACAGGAGCTTGATACAATAAATACACAGTACTGCCAATGCTTTCTTGAACTTGCGAAGACGAGGGAGGATGCAATAGAAAACGCAAAAAGGAGATGGATTACTAGGAAGAAAATACTTGTAATGTGATGGGCTAGGAAACAACCATTCTTTTTTTCTTTCGAGTTGTTTTCCCCCATTATTCTACGTTAGTTGATTTTGGTTCGTTGGAACCAGGCTTTTGTTTTTTTTTTTTTCCATTTTGTCAATACCTGCTGATGTTTTTTTTTTTTTTAATTTTTTTTGGAGGATGTGGTTTTATGGTTGTTAATGGATTGGGAATTGTTGACAAGCATGGTGGAATGATATAAACATCTTCTCAACAATATGTATTTTCAACCTAAGTTTCGGGGAGGGAGGGGAAATATGATCTTGAAGGGACAGTGAATCTGATTTGTGCATTGTACTTTCAATAATTGGTTCAAAGAACAAAGATTCAATATGATCTTTATAATCTAAGTTTAAAAAAAAAAAAAAGACGCGATGAATAATTTAAAAAATTTGAAAACTTATTGTTCTGTGAGGATATCAAGCGAAGAGATGCGCCTATTTGTCACGTGAGAGGTTGCCATCAACCTAGACCAAGAAATGTTTGACAATAATTTATTTCCAGGCCTTGAGTTAAGAATTAGATGAATGTCGAGAAACATGAGACTATAAAGCACAGTGAAGCCACGGATCGAGATAATAGTTGACTTGAGGATACATCAAAAACTAGAAAGAAAATCAAATCGTTAATTGGAATAAAGATCAGAAATGCATAATAGGCGGATGCAGTATGATGTTGAGAATATCAGACAAATTCAAGCTTATAGTTTCAACTTCCAAAACATTGTTACTTAGTGAAGCTGTGCTAGTTAAATAGCAAACAGAAAAATCCCAACTTTCACAAATATTTTGCAGAAGCCAAAAGGTAAATAACAATGGCAGCACCAGAAGAAATCCCCATTTCATACATTTGGCATGGTCTGTGTCTTTGATCATTTTGTACAAGACTACAAGAGAAAGCAAAAGAATGAACAAACCAAGAACAATAATTGAATCTAATCTTTAAAATTTCAAATTTTTGCACATTAACAGATCATGGAGACAGACACAAAACACCATTGGCATTGGCAACTAACTTATGACCAGTCTTCCCTGACTATTTTGGACTTCTCCAGAATGTACTTTCCTTCTTTATACTTTTGTGTTTCCTCATAGGCACGTTCATACTTCCAACCCAGCACCTCACGGCAGTCACAACAGTAGACATCAGCAACCGTGTGGAGGCCTGTCATAAGCTGCCGGTCTTCTTTAGGCCCCACCATAACATTCATTGCATGGGAGAACAAAAAAGCCCGTCCATTTCTTCCCTGAAAATGATAAGAAGCATCTTCAATCTTCAACCATCCTTATTTAGTACTACCTCTGGTCTTTAATATAAGACCTTGTTTGACTTTTATTTTGATCCTAAATATAAGACCCCAATTCACTTTGTCTCTCATATTTATACTTTTTTTTTCTTTCAAAGTAGTCCTTCTAATAATAACAGTTCTAGTCAATACACTCGATTAGCAAGGATATTTTAAGAAAGACAATACATATTTAGGACAAATAACTAACTCAACTTACTTCCTTAATCTCTCCAAATTAGTCAACTAGCTCTTATAATTAGGACAAGAGGTAGTAAAACATCTTTACGAAACCTATTGAAACCATTGATATTTCTTAAGAATTAACTGAGGCAGCCAGCATATGCTGACGGCAACTAATTTAATTAAACTCAGATTCTCACGTTCTGAACTTGCTGTATCATTATGGAAGGAAGAGCTATTGCCTACTGCTTATGTATAGATCAAATTGAAAACACGAGAAGAACGAAAGATTGATCTGCTCAAAACTTGAATTCACCTGAAAAGCTTTTGAAATAGCATCATCATGACGAGCAACATGGTTTCGACAATTACAGCAACTGTACAGTCTCGGTCCAATAAACTCCGCCATCCAATCCTTTACCAGCTTTCACCCCTATTCTTTTATCTTCAATCGATATCTTTGGTCTGTGGAAATATCAGTCAGTGCCAATACAAGCGATAAAAGAATGTTAGTTAAATTATTGCACCGAGAGGAAAAAAAAAAATTAACACATCCATCAACATACTATGCAACTTTCTGAATTTTGAGTCAAATAGACCAAGTATCTGTTCTGAGGTGAAAAGTAAAACTTGAAAGGATCATACTAATGGGCAAGATAAAGGTCACTAACGTAGATATAATAATGATTCAACAATAAGATATGGAAACAGATTGACAGAGGTAGGGTTGCAATCAAAACTCTAACCAACCAGAAACATGAATTTTTCAGATCATCCATGGATATATATCGCGGGAAACAAGGAAGTAATGTAATATCCAGAATGCGCGGATAATTATTATTAAAAAAATGCGCGAGTAATTAGCGAAATTCACAAAACCATGAAGGCATGAAGATTTTTGAATAGGGCTCAAATTAATCAGTTTCTCAGATCGATCACTGAATAAAAGTAATATCATTGAATTGCGATTTACAAAAAGCAAGCATTAGAAAGGCAATGGAAGACGCGAAGTACCTTTGGCGGGTGATGGTGGGGGCACAGCGAGTGAGAAAGTTCTAGGGTTCACCGCAGATTGAGTTGTCTACAGAACTGAAGAGATTAGAGTTCAACAGCTCTCTAGAGAAGACAACTTTCAACAGCTCTCTCATACTATTTTTGACCAAAAAAAAAAAAAACGGAAGGGGCAAAAACCAAAAAACAAAAGAAAAAGAAAAAGAAAACAAGAGTGTGTATATATATATATATATATATATATAACTGTTATGGATGGGAAGAGGATTACGTTCCCTAGTAAATTTTGCAGAGGAATTTTTTAAAGAAAAAACTAATTAAGAAACTCTTATAATTTTTATTAGTTTAGAATCAGGTCCTTATAATTTTTGTTTTCATTAGATCCTTTAACTTTCTCTTACTAGGTCCATTAATTCCTATAATTAAATAAGATAAACACTATTATAACTTTCTGTTAAATCTCCTCACCCACCCCCCACTCGCTCAACTCACTGTTCCTTCCACGGTAAATATCATCAAGCAATACATCGAGTATGCTCTGCAAAAATTATAGCATCTGGTTTGGTTCAGGTTTGAAAGCCAAGAAGCAAATGCGTTTCTTGGTCATGTCCACATAGCTCATAGGGGTAGGAGAGGAAGCAGAAAAGAGAACAAAACAAAAAACCTTAAAATGGGGGTTTCGTAAAAAGTTCATTTCTTTGAGTTTGAATTATTAAGATAGAATATTCAGGGTCTAGACTAAGCGAAAGCAGATTTGAGATAAGAGGATAGGACGAGCTCATCTTATGATGTTTTTCTAATTTCTAAGTAATTATACATATACATATACAGATTGATGGTTCATGAAGTAATAATAATATTATTTTATGTCTTTAATATCAGATCTAGTTGATTAATTTGAGGAGATTAAATAAGTTACTTAAATTAGTTATTTATAGTAAATAGATATTATTTTTCTTAAAATACTATTATTAATTACGTGTGTTTGAATTACCCATTAATAAAAACGTTTTAATATATGTAATTACTATGAAAATTATTTAAGAAAAAAATAGAGAAATATTAAAAATAAGATAGCTTCAACTCACATTTAAAATCAAATTAAAAATCCACCGGGCTAGTGCATAAATGCTGCTATATAATACTCGTAGGTGTTTGTGACCGACACGAAACATGATGCAGATGGTCAGATGGCTTGCCATTTCCAGCTGGCAAGCGGCAAGCCCATACAATAATAAATTAAGATTAATTAGAGACATCCCCCTTTCTCTTATGTATCAATGCTCGCGTGAAACATCTCTGCCCTTGTAATTCTCAATTTTGGGAGTGGGACCCATCTTTTCAGATTTGAAAATACCCCCACCTTCCTTACCCGTGTAGAATCATAATATTTCTTCCGATTTTACCGCTTTTCCCCAGATTGGCCACTTTGGATAAAAAGACGTAAAAGAGAAAAGGAACCAGTGTGGATCAAGAAACCCCTCCAACCACGATCGCTTTCGCATTTCAATGCCCCAGAAAGGATTACATCAAACAAAATCATATATTTGCCAAAAGAATTCCTTAAATAAATTAAAAAGAAAAAAAGAAAAGAAATGAGTGTGGCATAATCAAAGAAGAAATGAACAGTGACTAATGAAATAGAGAGAGGACCAATCCCAGAAAGAAGAAAAGACAGGAAACAGAAGAAGAAGACAAGGAAGGAGCAGAAGAAGAAGCCGTAACAGGAATGCTTCCAAACACAGTGGGATAGGAAGGCGCGTCGGCCGCGTTTCCCGTCAATGAAGCAGTCGGAGCATCAGACGGCAAAACGTCCTTACCGTCACCAACAACAATACGAAGCTTCTGCTTCTTCTGGCAATGCCCTGCTTCTCCACTGGTGAAGTAGTATACTGCATTTGAAGTTATGTTGAACAGGGAGTTACCGTCGTTCATGTGCAGTATGGGATCTTTAAGGTTACAACTCTTGTAAGACTCAGCCGTCACTTGGATCACTGAATCTTGACTTGGTGGATACAAGAACCCTGCATAAATTACAATGAGCAATGATCAGTAAGTGAGCAAAGAAAAACTGAAACTTTGGATTGGAATATGTATGAGATGTTATTACAGATGGAATCTCCGATCTTGAGATTGAGATGTTTGGACCATTTGGTGTAGACGTCTGGGTTTGAAGAGGCGGGGATTCCCCAACCATCTAAATCTCCAACCTTGTACGTTACGCATAATACCTTTGTTTGGAGAAACAACGTAAGCAGACATATGATGAAGAACATGTTGTTTCTGGCAAAAGCCCTCGGACCTCCCATCTTTGCTTCCTTTCTTCGGCGCCTGTAATTACTTGTTTTGGTTTTTGAGATCAAGCAGGCACATCTTATTGGTAGCAGCACGGGACCACCACCTAGAACTTGCATTTACATTAATACCCTCCTCCAATCATGATTCGTGAAAACAAATTTGCCAAGCAGGAATGGTGACGATAATAATAATAATAATAATGGGGTGAGTCACATGGGCCAGTTGGGATGGGATGCTGGATGTAGCAGACTGTGTCATGTGGGGATGTGGCTGAGCTGAGAGATTCAAGAAGAGGGCAACTCCAACCTGGCTCCAGCCACATCACATGCTTCTGTACAATGGAATTTCGCCCATCTTCTTCAAACTATATATCATTAAAAACTACACTAGAACTAGGCTATAAACTTGTTTTGGTCAAAACATATTTGCTACCACAAACATCCTATGGTATTTTTTAGTCATTCGTTAAAGGATTAAAGGGAGTTTTTTCACCTTAAAACTCTTCTTACAATCTGCTACAGGACGCACATTGCCGATGTAGCAGCCAGGCGAAGGTGTAAAAGTCTTGTCTGGATCTCCTTTTTTGTTTTTTCTTGGAGTTACACGTGGCATGCCACATAGGCAATGTTCAGAACACCTCATCTAACATGTCAGGTTTTGTGGACCCCACACCAGTCAGTAACAAGAGTCGGTTAGCATTTAACCGCAGTCAATTACATCGTTTTTTAAGTTTAGCTCACCATTGCACCGCTAACTAACAGTTTAAGAGCCTTTTCTTTTTTTTATACACACAGTTTAAAGAGCCTCGTAAAATCAGAAAGTACATTGTATATATAGTGGACAGTTATGAGCCCGTGAGCCATGGAGCTCTTTATTCATTGAGGGCTTGACTTACCCAACCCAAACAATCCATCTTGCGGTGCGGTCAACGGATATGGATTTGGTACGCTTGGGTGGAAGAACCGAAGAAGAAATATCAGCTTTTTTTCCTTATGCGTCGTTGTATTGTGCTGTCGGTTGCATATCAGTTGGCCAATGTGGTTGGGTTCCAAAGGGACCTTCCAGGCAGACGATACGCAACCAATACAAGTACATAGAATTCGTTCTAAAACACGAACCTCAATCCAGTGAATACATAAGGTAGCGTTTGATTCTTTCTAAACACCAACAAACAAGCAGGCATTGAAGGCATTCATTACACAACTTCATAGACTGACAGGGTGCTCTACAACAGTCACTTCATTGAACGGAACACAATACAATCTCAAAGCCGAGTCCCAAAAGGGAATGGATAACAACATCGGCGAGAAAGGGCTAGTTCTTGAACATGTTGATGTTGCGAATGGCAGCATCCCTAAACAGAGCGACATCCACACCCGTACACACCATATCATAACCACGCCTCTTGAGATCAAGAGGAGGGTCATGGGGCACAGCCAAGGCGGCCAAAGAAGGGGCTTTCTCACTCTCACACTTGAGCTCCAACAAAGATTTCTCAGCCAGGAGGAGCTTGTTCTTGAGGGACTCATTCATGTCGGGGCTCACACCAAAAGGGCCAAGCATGATGCAATCAACCCCTTCCACAGAAGCAATGTCATTTATGCGATCAAGGGCATCCACAGACTCAACCTCACACATTACCAACAAGTCATTCTCGCATTTGGCTAAGTACTGAGGATCAAAGCCATAGTTGGAGGCACGGACGGCGGGGAAAGCGGCGCCGCGCACTCCCTTGGGAGGGTAGTGAGAATAGGAGACGGCAGCTCGGGCGGAGTCAGGGTGGTTGACCAGCGGGAAAATGAGGCCTTGTGGGCCCAGGTCAAGGGCTTTTTTGGCCCAAGTCTCGGAATTCTCCGGAAGCCGGATGATGGCAGGGGTTTGAGTGGAACACAGGGCGCGAAGACAGGAGAGGGCATTGGCGATGTCGCCGTGGCCGTGAGCAAGGTCGATGACAACGAAGTCATAACCGGCCAGACCGGCGATTTCAGTCAAGGTCGGCGAGAAGCTGGCAAGCAATAGTCCATAGAGGGTTTCCCCGCCGCAGCGGAGGCGAGCTTTCAAGGATTTGGTGATGCTGCTGCCAGCGGCCATTCCTTGGAGCTGTGATCGCCTAATAAAAGAACGGAATGGATCGTGTGAAGGCACTAAGGTTACCTTATATCGTATACTGATATACTTATTGATTCCACACCCAGCACTCCTAAATTGAATTGCTTGAAGATAAACCTCTGAACTTTTAGGACCTTGGTTTGTGTGCTTTTGGGGAGTGGTGGTGTGGATGGATTCGAGACAAACAAAATACACAGTAGTATAATATTAGATACAACCAAACCACAAACTGTAAGATCTGACGCATTTATCCAGCTGCCCGCGAATCTATCCACACTTTCTAATCCGTCCTTCCTACTTCTGTTCACTCAGGTTTGCAAGGAACGGCCAAAGACATGTTTTTCCATTTATTTTTTTCTGGGATTTGCTAACTACAATCCAAACACAATTATAAAAATAAGTCAGTATTATTTATAATTAATGAATAATACAAGTGAGTCAGGTTTTAGTATTGTATGTGTTTCACATCACATAAAAGTGTTTCTGAAAAGTATTTTTTCACAAATCAAGACAAACTCTTCTACATATTTACTTCATATACTGTAAAATTACTTTTGAAATTATGATTGGGTTTTTATCCAAACACCTCCTCATAGGCAAGTGATAAAAAAAATAATTCATGCGGATGCACTTCCTTCCCTTACTTTTGGAGTATAATATTACATAGAAGGTTCTCAATGAACAAGAAGTCCTTGACCAATACGATTAATAATGCCAACATCTATGGCAAATGCGGGAAATTCGTTCAAGGCATCTCTATTGATACCAACCCGCCAAAAATGACATGTTAGGCTCGGTCAAAAACTAACCTGCCAGTAAACAAATCTTTTGAACCCGCACCATGAGGCCCGCATCTATTTTTTTTAAAATTTTTTTAATTGTTATAATTATATTATTATATATTATATCCTATCAAAAAAATTAAAAAAATACATATATAATTTATTTGGTACTTTTAATCAAATATTTTTAAAAAAACAAAAATTTTATTATTATTTTTGGATATTGTATAAAAAAATATTAAAAAGTAAGAAAAATTTCAAAAATAAATAAATTAATTAATATTGACAGGTTAAGATTGACTAAAAACTAACCCGCTTTCAAATGAACCCTTTCAACCCGACCCATATAGGATCAACCCGCCATAGACCAACCCACGGGTTGACCCATATTATCAACCCTATCCATTAGATAGTGTATCTTGATTTGGACTAGAAGAATCCTATTGTATAAAATCTCCTAGAACATCTCCAATAGACACCACAACCTAATAAGAGTAATAATAGTCAAAAGGAGGATCCTAAACACAAACCTAGAGAGGAATGAGATAGGTGGATGTACTTCAATGCAAGTTATGCAACATGTGGTCTCCAAGAAGTAAATGCGATTTTTTCTTTTCAATAGGCATAGGTATAATATGAACACCTTTCCTAATACAGATTCAAACCTTAACTTACCACATTGTAAGAGACTAATCTTTTCTACTAGACTAAACTCTTATTGATGGAACTAATGCAATTTAAAAACCTCGTATAATAACCAAGGTCCATTGGAGCTCATATGGAACTAAGTCGGTGGTGGACTGAAAATGTATGAGGAAAGCGATTTTGAAACTGCTGAACAATTGAAACCATTCCTTGATGGCGCGAGATATAGGCTCTAAACTCAGAAACATGAAGTTTACTAGCAGCAAGAACTTGAAGAAAAGCATGGTAGCGAGAACATGGGGACATTCTCTCAGTCAGCAAACACAATAGGAAAGCGTGAAAAAGTTGAAACCATAAGTTGCGACTAAAGAAGCTTAAGAGAGAAATAACAGAAAGAATTAACAACGCAAAAAAAAAACCATAGAAATTGTAGAATTGAAACATGAAGGATCGAAGGATTGTATGCGGCTGTAACACTTTAAATACCCGAAGCCGATTGATATGAAAATCAACCCAAAAATTGGTCAAATTTCTTCAAAACTTCACTGAAGATGGGCACCATCAAGTAAACTGCATGGCAAACTCAATTCGGTATCTTCAAATACTCCATCACGATGTTCTTGGCAAATGGCAAGAATAATCGATCCCATTTCAACATCACTCAGATAGTTTGGCCCAAATCGCAATTCAGTCGAGATGCAGCCTATCATTGGGCTGGTTATTGAACAATAATTTTATACAAGCTCAAATTCGATAGTTAGTAATAGCTTATTACAGTTCAATATGTAGGGACATCTTTATATCCCCGGGATTACGTCCCTACAATTCTCTTATCCTGACAATTCTAGGCATGCTTCATCTGCAAATTTGGCTGGTTGCAGAATGATGTAGGAGACGAGAAGCTCATTTACATCTAAAATTAAAAATGAAACAAAAATAAGATTAACCTGACAGACTATCATTTTTGCTTATTTGCACTCGCTAAGCAGAATATCTTCACAGATGCTTATTGAACACCAGATGGGCGGGATCCCTGAGGATATTTAACTTGGTCAACCACAGTATCCTTAGAAAAGAGATCCCCCTCCAGCAGAGAGAAACAATGCATTTACGTATAATTTCTCTCAGTGCCCGGATGTATATGTGCATCACCAAAGCATATCACAAATCATCACCTCTCATGCTACTTCTTCTCTTATGTCCCCATGATCCCGACTGGAGAGAGATCTTAGCTGCTGTTGTAACTGCTCAAAATAATAACAGAGTCGCCATTTAGATTTACAGAAACTTTTTAACATGAATTTTAGGATTATACCTAAATATTAATTCACAAGGGTTAAAAGACGCATGATGGAAAAATAACGCCTCCATATAGCCAAGTTTAGAAAATACAAACGGTGTACGGCTAGATCTAAAGCGACCCCATCCTTTTACCTGTATCTGTTTCAACTTCTCAGCAGTCAACTCCTCTGACACATTGATAAACCTGTAACTCGTGGAGATAGCGAGAAGAGAAAGATGTGAGATAGGCATTTTAATGTCAAATGAAAAGGGCTACTCATAAAAACTTCTGCCAATTGTTATAAGTAACCTGGCCTGTAGTTCTGCAATTTTGTCCAGCAGCAGACGTTCCCTCTCTGAAGCTGCTGAGTCAACCTAGAAACCACTCAAAGGGTCAATGGCAACTTTGATTTCAGGGAAAATCATTATATATCAATGATAAGAAATGCAGACGTCACTAGTAATTAGAAGTAACCAAGCAAACAATTGAAACGGCTGAATTGTATTAAAAGCTACTCACAATTCCATTGTTCTCTGAACTGCGATACCCAGGCGGCGGCGACTTTCCATTCAAAGAAGCTGAAAAAATGATTGGTCTTTTATAATTCAATACATACTACAATGGATTGAAACGGGAAGTTTTTTTCCTCACCGTCAACCGCCTCAGCTGGTTGCATGCTATTTAACAAATTCATTATTAGATCCTGGAATGAAATAGAAAATTTCAATGAGAATATCAATCAGCAAGATTAATGTTGAGATGAAGAGACTTCAATCAAGTAGAGCCAAACTATAAACCAGTTCACAACTGCCCTCACCTGTTGAATAGTTGTCTGCTGGAAAAGATTCTGAAGGTGAGTCATAAAAAGTGATGAAGGAATATTGGTATCGGCAGAATCTTTGGCAGCCTGACCAGTTGGCTGAAGAGAATAAGATGATATTCAATCAAAGACAGACAATATTTTACATTAATATTCATGCATTAAATGAATATTTAATGATACATAAGCAGCCTGCAACTACATAATACATAATTTTCTTGGCAACCGGATAAATCAGAAGTTGAATATGATAATTTTTTTTATTAGTTTTACTTCATAATCCTGTGCAATGCACAGAGTCGCTTTCTAGTTACATAATAGTTGTTTCAAGGGCTGGAACTTCAAAACAGGGATGCGGCTAAGTACACATCAATAAGAATGACGAAAAATTTAGCAGCTAGGTTTAGAGAAAATGACTGATGTACAAACCATTTGTCTAAAATCTGCCATCCAATCACCAACACTGGCAGATTTCCGCAGTGGTGATCCCTAAATTGGACAGGAACTGAACATTAGCTTGGGGGGAAAATATGGCATGACTGTAAAAATACTAATTAATAAAGCCATCAACCAACCTGTGAAGATCGGCGAGGAACTGAACTTAAAGGAATATCCTATGGCAAAACATCAGGTCAGTCAAATTTATACTAAATAATAAAAATAAGTTTTATCCCACTAGATGGTGTCAGCTATATGGATAGTCAAATTTATGATATAGGGTAAACAAATAACAAGATTGAAGCATACCTTCACAAGATCTAAATTTTCTGACGTTACTGAGAATCGCCCTTTAATCTGCACAAGATTAGCCTTTGACTTATCATCCAAGGAATCTCTGAATCCTGCAACGAGCAGAATAAATAGAATATACTCTAGCAGAATTTCACGAGAACTGGCCGTTGGGAATGCTATCACTTGAACATATAACCTCAAGTGCAAAATCAATACCTCCCGAACATTTTATTGGAGCTGATAAACTATTTGCTGAAGCTCGGTTCGGCAGCATCAAAGGACCACTAAAGCTTGGAGTTTTTCGTGCTTCACGGTTAACTTTCTCACCTGATGATGGCTGATTTTCGTTCTCAAACCTAAAAGCAGAACATATTTAATCAAGCAAAAGACAATGATAGTAACCACCGTTACCTAATAGCAGACAGTAAGACAGAGAAGCAATCAACATTTGGTCCATTTATTTGAAAATTTAAATTACAAACTCCCTACAATGAATATGAATATATGTTTAAAAGAAAGGTGAAAGGGAAAAAGAGGATTCTCAAACAACTATTTCTTTTCAGAGGCTGCACTCCGTATCTACTTCATCTCATATTATCAAAATGTGAATGAACTGAACTGTCTATATGTCATCAAATGTTAACTAATTTTCATAAGTCATTTCTATAATTGGCACTTGTATCCACAAGCAATTAAGAGGGCAGATAAAATATTTTCTATATTATTAGCTGAAATCCAGCAAGAACAAAGCACCCCAGGCATTATTTTTTCCTAACTCGCATTCTCATTCGCAAATAGTCTTCATTCTGTTGTGTAATCATAATCCGTGTAAGTTAAGGAAGGGTAGTTTGGTCATTAGAGTTAGACTCAGGATTTTAAGTCTTTTCTGCATGATGGTGTAGTAGTGTTAGTTAGTTAGTTGGTTGGTTAGTAGTTAGTTACATTTTCCTTTTTCCGTTTCCTTCCTATAAAAGGATACTCTCTAGACTAAATCGAATGTAATGTGCATTGTTAATA